GATTGAGCATGAAGCCTTTCTTACAATGTGGCTTTCTGATTTTGTTTTTCCAGATGCGTGGCGCCGTTCGATTTCGGGTAATGTTCTTCCCATTGCTGTTCGTTTAGCAAGAGGTGAAAAGGTTGCTCTTGCTCCTGCTGTTTTAGCTACCTTGTATAGAGATTTAAGTCGAATCCATGGCTTAGCTAGATGTAAGTCTAATAAGAAAGTTAAACTCGAGTCTCTGTTGAAGTTAGTTCAAGTATGGATATGGGAGAGATTCAGAAACATTAGTCCAGAAGCTAGAGAGATACAAATGGGAGAACCAAGAATTGCTCGATGGTGTATTCGGGGAAAGAGATGTGAGAAGAATGAGAGATTGAGTTTTGATGATTTCGATTGGCGGCCTTACGCTAAAACTATAAGGAATTGGAGTCCTCCTAAGTTTTATGTTGAGGAAGGTAAGTGGATGACTGTTGATGAGAGCCTTGATGATGAGTTTGTTTCGTTTGCTCGATGTTTGAGAGTTTCTAAGCTTGTTGGGATTGGTTTTGTTGAGGATTACTATCCGAATCGAGTTGCGATGCAATTTGGTTTATCTCAAGATCTTCCTGGTTTGGTTACTCATCATAGTGACAACACAGAAAAGGAAGCTTGGGATGATTACGATAAGTCTCTTGATGGTTTAAAGCTATACATACCTTCTCGTCTCGCTTCAACTTCTGTTACTGCAAGATATCAAGACTGGTGGTTGAAGTCAGTTTCGGAGTTTCAGAGTTCTGAAGAAGGGTTTCAAGTAAATCTCGAAAGATGTAGGAAGCGTAGAAAAGCGAAAAATGTGAGATCTAAGAAAAAGAAAGGCAAGATAGGTGACTGTGGTGGATCAACTTCAAGAGAAGTGACACTTAGTGAGTTGTTTCAGAAGGAGCTAGCTCAGAGGACAAGGGAGCATTTGAGAAACAAGAGATTCAAGCGAGCTCGTGAAGATGGGTTCAATGGAAAACTCGAAAGATGTAGGAAGCGTAGAAAAGCGAATAATGTGAGATCTGATTTAAAGAAAGACAAGATAGGTGACTGTGGTGGATCAACTTCAAGAGAAGTACCACTCAGTGAGTTGTTTCAGAAGGAGTTAGCGAAGAGCAGAAGTGAGCATTTGAGGAGCAAGAGAGCTTGTGAAGACGATGATGATGATAGTTCTATGGATTGTTATGATGATAACATTACAATTGCTGAGATAATCAAATCTAGAAAGAAAACTGGAGGTGATGCTTTTGAATCACTTGGGAAAAGAAGTAGACATGAGGAGGATAACAATGATTCAGGCCTTGTTCAAAAGCCTGCTTCCGAAGATGAGAATGTAGTACCACAGGAAATAGAGCCAAGGATTGAAGTGAATGATGAAGAAGAAACAGGAAACGAAGCAGAGAAGATTACGGTTGTGATCCCGTCTGATGGAAACAACTCTTCAGAGCCTCCTACTGGTTCTAATGGATTAACAATTGAAATTTTTGTGTCACCACAAGAGAAGTTTGGTTGTGAAGATGAAACTGTAGCAACACAAGAGATAGAGCAAAGGCGTGAAGAGAAGGAAGAAGAAACAGGAATCGAAACAGAGAAGATTGTGGTTGTGATCCCATCTGATGAAAACAACTCTTCAGATCCTTCTCATCTTGCTTTTAATGGAGGATTAGTTGAAACTGCTGTGTCACCACAAGAGACAAGACAAAACTGTGATGTAAATGGAAGTGACACAGAGGAGAAGACTATGATCGATGATGGAACCAAAAAAGAAGAGTGTTTGATACATATAAATGGAGAAAATCAGAGAGAGAAGTTGCGTAGTGAAGTTAAGAAAGAAGAAGAGATAGATGAGAGATTGAAACAGAGAAAGCTTGCAATAGAGGAGATAGCATTGAAGCTAGAGGCACGAATTATGAAAATGGAGAAGAGTTTAACAAAGATTAGAGACTGGAAAACAAAAAGAAACCAAACCAGCTCTAAAGTTTCTACTTAATTAGCTTAATACATAACAATAATGTAAAACACATATCATTCTTGGTGTTGATTTCTTTTGCTCATTTGCATAATCTAGAGAACGAACTTATGAGACACAAAGCTTTATGATGTTTTGTGTGTTTTATATCTTTTTTCTTTGTTTGGGGTCAAAGTGTGTGTTTATATATATATAATTGGGGGATTCAACACTACTATTTCATTTATAAATAAATTTTTAAAATTGTTATATATTCATCATAATTCTTGTTTGTATATTTCTTTTTTTACTTGTAACTAGGGCATGATCCGCGCCCTGTGCGGAATAGTAAATTTTAAAACATTGATATAGTTAATTATTTAGAAATAAAAATTTGATGTATAATTTTAATTTGTAACAAAATAATGGGTACTAAGCTCTAATATGTGAGCCTAAATCCTCACTAATGCATGTAATCTATTGAAAGCAATTTATATTTTTAACAAATTAAAGAGTATTAAACACTAATATGTAAGTATAAACCATCACAAATGCACGTAAAATATTTAAAACAATAAT